GAACAGCTTTTTTAAGTGGTTAAAGGAAAGGCAATGCAAAGTGCAGAATCACTCCAGCATCCCCTTAAGATGATTTTGAAATAAGAATCGACTGTGAGTACCGGCCTATGTTGCGTAGCGAGAGTCGCGGGTTACATCCAACGGCCGACAGTTGTCGCCAGTTGTCCCGTCGCGCATTGTCGCGAATAATCGCGCAATCGCGAGAGGAGAGTAGCATTGGAGAGTAGGAGACTCGCATTTTCGGGACAACAAATTTACGAATCAATTCGTCTCGTCAAGACGAGGACGCGATCGCGGCCGTGGTGACACAAATGCGGAGGCACCGCGACAGCTCGCTGTAATAATGTTGTGCGAGCCGACCGACACGGGCGGTCGGGCGCAATAATGACGAACGATACGAACCGACGTGCCGGTGGATCGAAATATGCGAGGTACGTAACGTGTACGGGCGATCAATAAATTATTCACGCGGAGAAAATATCCCATTTATTTCGAAGCTTACGTTCGCCCCCTGCGGCGTCGGTCGCCAACGCGCGTCGTCTTTTCTTCCGCCGTTCTTGACGGTTTATTCGTATGTCATCGCGGGGAACGTGACGAGAACGTTGCGCTGGACATTATCGAAATTTATTATCCCTCGCCGCGGTGCGGAACAGTGAAATTCGTTTTTCCACCACCCGCGAGCGACCAAGTAGCGGAGGGAATTGTTTTAAGAGCAGAACCGATTCTCTCGCGTTTTTCTCGCTCGATCTCGCACAACTTTGTCCCCCGGTATCCTTTATGTTTATGCCCAATCGAGAGAATTAAACGCCTCGTTGACAAGACGCAGTTCCAAATATCATATTTTAACGATTCTCTTTTAAATTGTTAGATTACACGGAAACTCTTGTAAATGTAGAGAAATGTTCCGATCGTGAGCACCAAAGTACAAAATTTTCCAACGGCGTTTTGCAGTATAAAGTATATGTACACGCACGCAAACGCACACGCAAACATCAAGTATACCACCGTACGTTTTGCAGGTAGACAAGTATGAAACAGTAAATATGCCTCATGGCTGGAGGCGAGAACAGCAGCGAGCCAAATGGAAACTTAGACAAGACGCACCGGTGGCTGTGCCACAGTAGTCTTCGCTCCTCCAGAACGCCCGAGTCTTGCTCGAGTAATGAATTCACGAAGCGGCAAGGTGCGGAGCAACGTCGCACCGCTGTCAAAAATATCAGCCTATTGCAAGACAGTATTCTGAGGTGAGCGAACGCCTGCCTCTTCCGTTTTAACAAATTGTAACACACCGTGTATATCCCAGCGCAAAATATCATGTGTCCAGAAGCGTCGTGTAGTCTCCAATTGTTCGATATGTATACACGCGCCACTTTAATTCAATTGATCCCCTTTGCACAATTTTGCCTCTTGTATCCCTCTGTGTGGTCGCGCTGTCTCTCGAGGGGACGGAGACTCAAGGATGGTCTTTTATTGTAGAATATTTACGGATTCCTTACACTGTGATCTTAACATAGTACATGGTTACAAAGTAATACGTATAAACGAGTGCGTTGTTAAAACAAGATCGCCACGCTTGTACCAAGTTCTCAAGCCTTATTTCGTTTACACTAACAAAACGATCCATTGCATTCTCGATAAAGCCGGACTTTTCCATCGGATTGAAGGTTTCGTAAGGTATTTCACCGCCGTGTTGATTGCTTACTGTATATAGAAAGAGTACAGTTGAGAAGAGACGTCTCCGCTATTCACATTTGTTTATGCATGCTTGCTTCTTCTTTAAACGTAAATTACATTCCCACTTATTTCAAGTAAGACGAGAACAAATGCGTGTGCATTGTCGCCATATTTTCTATTGAGAAGAAAAAGCGAACGGTCTTTTGAAATGGATCTCGCGCATAGATCTTGCACATTTTATGCGCGTGTGGTTATAATTTAATTGTAATTAAAAGTATGAAGTTATCACGCATGTAACCTGTGCCTCTTTTAACTCGTTGAGCATGCAATGCTAAACTTAGCCATCTCCGTCGTAATATTAATATTACATACTTGTTTATCAATTGCAGGCTTCTCTACAGTAATCTCGACTTCACTCGAGAAGAGCAGTTGTTGGTAAAAATAATTTTGAATACAAATTACAAGTGTCAGTCTTTAGATGAATTTGATACCAATGTATCTCGCACCGACAACAGGTGAGCTTGAATAATAAATAAAACTAAGAGTTAAGTACAAGCTCGTCGTTGATGAATATCAAGAATAAAAGAAGGATTAAGGCCAATATATTTGCGAGCAATAAAACGTTTAATAGAATAATAATTCCATAAAATCCATTGTCATGTGTCGGCGATGAACAATGTTTTTGTGTTTAATTAAAACAATTATGGTAAATCGACGTATGGAAGGCGTGTATAATAACGCATGATTCTTAAAGATAGATAATTAAAATGTAAGTGACGTACGTTTTCCTTGTGTAAAGTAACGCACGTTTTCCTTTTACAAATGAAAATGAATAAAATTAAATTGGATTAACCGACGGACGACGTTTCGACTTTACTTAGTCATCTTCAGCGTGTTTTTCCTATAATAATAGGTCCAATAATGTTAATACATAGAGTGTACATACGAGTATGATCGACGCACGTGTGAGATATAAAATGTTACTTGTAATCTGTTTTATTTAAACACAAAAACATTGTTCATCGCCGACATATGGCAATGGATTTTATGGAACTATTATTCTATTAATTGTCTTATTGCTCGTAAATATATTGGCCTCAATCCTTCTTTTGTTCGTGAATAAACAAAACGTTATAATCTTGATTTTAGAGGCTGATAATTCTAGTGTTTGACTAATTAGACTCCTCCGTTTTCCCATTATGCCGCGTTTCATAGATTGGTATTGTCCACAGGAAATACGAGAAATGTCTGACGTTGAACTGTGATCTGGGACGTACGGACGTGAAGGACGTAAAGGATTATGCTGTAGCGAGCGCGAGCCCTGTTGCATCAGAAATGGCCGATTCCGGTTTGGAGACAGGTTCGATAAGTCCGCACGACAATACGTCAGAGAATTCGAGCACGGACCTGGAGGTGACGCAGGCGGCGGAGTACACTTCCGCTAACGATGACGACTCGGATCGGATACGCGCCGAGCGGGTTCGCAACAAGAGCGATTGTAAGACATTTTTGTTGTACGACGAACACTGCGAGTCGCTCAACGACGACAGTTGTCGTGGAAGGAGCGCGACCCAATCTGTGTCGAACGATCATAGCGTAACGTACTCCTCGTCCCTGGAGACGGAACATCAGCCCACAAACACAACGTCGTCGGACAACGTCCAGGAAGCGAAACTGAATGCCGACGAGATCTTCCAGTACGAAAGTCGGATGTTAAATGAGCCATTCTACGAGTCGGATTGCGGCAGCGATGAAAACGAATCTTTCGAATTTATCGAGCCCATCCCTTCGACGAGTGACGATCATGAAGAAACTTCCACAAAGTGCAAATTGGAATGGAAAACGCAGCCCGACGCCGAAGAATCGCTCGTGGAAAGCGCGACGAGCAAAGCTGAAGCGAGCCGAGAATCCGACCAGTCTCGTCTTACTAACGCGACTGGCCGTAACAACTCCTGCGCGAGCGGTTATTACTTCATCGATGCGTCCACCTTGAATGACGAGGTGGACATCGTGTCCACGAATGTAGCGAGGAATCAGTATGGTAGTGACGGTGGTACGTCACTACCATACCTGACGTTTTCCTCAAATTATACAGATTACACGGCGAACAAATCGAACAACGCCGTGGAGGAACAATCGTACAAGTTTACGCCGCTCAAGGCGCTGCCCCTGCAAACGGGCCACGAGCGAGTGGCGGAACTTGAACGGGAGCTCAAACTCACCGAATACTTGCAGCCATTTCCAGAGTCGCGCAAAATAAAACGAGTAGATTCTCCAGCTGTCTCCTCGGAGGAGAAGATAGAGACGAGCAAGCCGACGGAGAAGGAGTCGTTGGCCGTGGAGATCAAAGAGGCGGACAGTGGGGAGAGCGCGCATCCTTCCCCGTGTCCCGACAACAATACCAAGTTGAACAACCGAGATGAAAAAACGGAAACGCCGAGCAGTGCCGAGGCAACGAAGACAGCAGGGAAGAGAAGCGAGAAAGACGCGGCGGGTGAGACAAGCGGGGAGGACAGGCGACCATCGCTCATCAGAAGAAACACGTTCGAGCTTGACTCTAACGACGAGAAGTTATCCGTTTTGAGACAAGAGTATGAACGCAGGCAAGGTAGCCTCGTTTTTCAAAGCGCCATTCCACAATACTCCGGACATCGCGTAGACGGAGACTCCATTTGCCACGCACCTTCCGATTCCGTAGTTAATCCGATTCCAATTATTGAGCCGTCGATCACGTTTACACCCGATATACAGAGCTCCATTAATACACAGCATCCGGTGTCCTATTCATTGGACGGTCATGAATACGAGATAAATCAAACGCAAGCGCAAGCGAATTATGTACAATCCGGTCTCAGCAAGTCTTGCGCGGTTTACCCGGTTATCAAGAGTGCCAGCGACAAATCTATCGTGGATTGCGGCATGGACTGTGGCTCGGACGATACGTTGAATCATTGCAGTAGCAGCCTACCGGTTACCTTGGATTCCATCTTGGAGAAAGGTAACCGAGCGGAGCCTGTAAAGAGAACCTGTAAGCGAGACGAAGCCACTCCGATTATTTCTGGCGGTGTTAGCACCTCGGATTATTCGAAACCTACGGACAGTCCGACCGTGCGGCGCAAGACGGAATCCACACCGATCGTATCGGGCGGCTCGGTGATTATGAACAAGCCTGAAATGAAAGTCAAGTCCTCCAAAATGTCTTCCTCCATGACTGCCTGGGTGGTTGACATGAGTGATTGTAATAAAGAGGAACCCAAGGCTCGAAGCAACTCACGGAGCATGTCGCAAAGCTTCTCCACCTCCGAGAGCATGAAAAGATCCATGCAAAAGTCAGGCTTGAGTCATGAAAAGCACGGTTTAGGCTTCTTTGTCGATCTGAAGGATGTGAAGGATGTGAAGGATACAAAAGATATGAAAGTTGATGTTGAACCCATCAAATGTGATCGCCCACTCGAGAGGAAGGAACGCGACGGTAACGGCAGCGGCAAGCCTTATTGTGAATTTTACGTAGATATATCTGACAAGAGTAACGGTGGTAGAGTCAAGCCATCCGAAAGGCAGAGCACAAGCATGAGAAACGACATTTCGAGCGAAGGAGAAAAGAAGAACATCTTCTCGATGTTTATCGATCTGAATGATACGCGTGCAGACGTTGCCGCTCCGACGAGGCACAGGCGAAGCTTTTCAACGATACCGAATAAATTAGCAGATAACATAAATAAGACGGACGACAGTAGCTCGATAGATAACAGCAGCAGCGCCGCGGGAGATAATCAGCCGGTGAGCCAAGAACAAAAGAAGGAAAAAACGAAGCCTAGCGTCTTTATGTTCATAGAGTCCGATTCTCCTGTAGTGAGAAGACGGACGCTATCTACTTCACGGCCAACGTTCCAGCGACACTCCTGGAACGTGGACAAGACACAATCGGTAAATAATAGTAACGGCTGCGTGGCGAAAGAACTTATGTTTAGAAGGGAGCACAAACGTGCGCACAGCGTGTCGATGGACAGTCGCGGCATTACCAAGCAACTCCAAGCGAAGACGAGCTCGTCCAGTCACTCGTTGAGCGACGCGGCTAAGGCGGACTCTTACAATCATAAAAATTTCAAGACACTACAGGAGCGTGAGCATAACTCCAACAATATGGACACATCGTCCGAGGATGTATTCGAGTTTGATGTAAGGGACACTCCGCCGAACTCTCACGTGGAGATCGAGAATGAACAGCTGCGCGTCAACGTGAATCACCGCGAGTACAAAGAAATGACTCCCGGTCAATTGGAGGACTTGGAGGCTAACGAGACGAGAGCGTACGAGGACGAGTTCTCGGAGACCTCCGCTTGGGAAAAGACATGTACGGAGAGCACGGAAGGTCACACTCGCAAAAGTGAAACGTTCGACATCAGCAGCGGCAGCGGACCTTCCCCGGACAGCGACAACCACTATTACGAATTGACCGACGTGTTGAATTCGGGTGTTAACGATAGATCGCAACTAATTGCCACGGGAAACAGCAGTAAGATATCGGAAACTCGCAAGTCATTGAGTGAAACTATCAAGAAGATTGAGTGCGAATTGAAGGAGCCGGGATATAACGACGCACATCAGTCGTACGAATGTCGTTTGTCAAAGAAAGCCGGCAAGGTGTCCGGTCGCGGCTTCAAGAATTTGCATTCCGATTCGCACAAAACAAGTACTTCCAGTTTTGTACGTCTGTCGGATTTAGATAAAACGCCGACGGCTAATCACGCGTCGGATGTGTTGACGGTGAAAGCTGACAGAAGCACGTATCGGATGAGCAGCAGTATCCCGGAAACATCGTGGATAGAGAGCAAGCTGGCAGTGACGAGGAACAGCGGCCCAGTTAAACCGGTCTCTAGGAAGCTCGCTTCTGTTATGAGCACGTCGCTCCCATCCAAACAGAAGTCACCGCTGGAGGATTTGACCGGTGATTGCGAAGCAGAAGGGATTATCTCCGAATCTGATCTCAGCAGCATGCAGAGCAGTATGGGACGTTCCGGAGCGGGTACGTACCGTTTTGGAATTTGTAAACTTGGTGTAAACGACAGTATAGCAAAATTATTTCAGCACACGTATATAATTTTCATCTTTGTATTATGTAAAGTGATAACAATTTCGACTTAAAATTGATAAAATAACGTTTCCTTGAAAAACAAAGTTACTTATTACAGAAGGCAGCACGGAAGAAACTGAAACCTCAAGCATAGCTGGTGCAAAGCCATATAATAGACTGGGTGAGGATTTATTAAGGATGTTCCTGGAAGAAATCAATCCTGACGTTACGATAGACGTAGCTGGTCGGCATATAAGAGCGCATAAATGTATATTAAGTTCTCGTTGCCAATATTTTGCCGCAATTTTGAGCGGCGGATGGATCGAAAATGCAGGCAATGTTATTTCTCTACAAGGGTGCGCATCAACACATAAATATGTATAATAGCATGCCCTAGAAAGTTGTATCTATAATTTGCGACAGAGGGATTTGTTCTCTCTATACCTGGTAGTGTTAACATATTTGATACTTGAAACATATGCTTTTATAAGACACGTAATAATATCATTGAATGTATTTTATATTTTGATATTAATAATTTTAACATCACGAATCTGTTAATATCTCTATTTTAGGTATTCTTATAATGCAGTTCATTTTGCATTATGTCATATCTATAGTGGAGAAAGTAATATACCAGATTCTATAAGTATCGTTGAATTAGCGACGTTAGCAGATATGTTGTGTTTGGAAGGTCTTAAAGAAGTCATAGGATACACGCTTAAGCTTAAATATTGCCACCTGTTTCACAAGGTAGATATATTAATTTCGAAAATGTATTTCTGTCTCAATTTTCTAACAAAGAGCTAACAATATCAATAGTGTGCAGTACTTATAAAAAAAAAGTATAATTGACTGTGACCGATGCTTTCTAATTCATTCAACATTCAAAGCGGATCTCTTACAATTAGTGTTAGAAGCATGTAGATTGATAATTTTGTTGCATTGGAAGGTCAGGAATTCTAAATTCATGTCACATCTAATTTTGTTAATCTATTTGGCCTTTCGTATGTTTTTCAAACTGCTATATCTAATTGCTGTTGCTTATAAGAGACTTTGTTACTTTTTAGCCTTGCCAAATATGTGCCGTCGGAGTGTTGGAATGTATGCCGTTGGCAGCGGCGTACGGCCTGGATGAAGTGTATCGAAAGTCACTCAGATGGACTACGAAGCACTTTGTACGAATATGGCCGTGCAAGGCATTTGCGACTCTCCCGAGAGAACTTATGGAAAAATGTTATCATCAGCATATAGTGCACATGGTACGTACATCAAAAAATGTGATAATGTTACTTAATCACGATGTAGTTATGTACGAACCGAGTTGAAGGTTTCGTTCCATAAGACATGGTTGATATTTTTATTGTGACAACACTGTAATTTGGAAATTATAAATCAGTTTTAGTACAGATGAATAAATTTTGCAATCCATGTAGAAAATTGCTTGACGACCCAAGGCTGGCAAATTCTAATTAAAGAAATTTATTGCGAAAATTATTACCTCAGCCAGGGTCCTCGTCAAGCAATTTTCTACATTGGTTAATCAATTATCGGCGTTAAATTATTCTTTACGAAATTTTGTAATGTTTCATTGAGTGATATAAATCTTTTTTTCTTCATACAATTGCAGTCTACCGACAACGTGCTACAAACCATGATAGATTGCGATAAACTGTTGGCAACCTTACCGAATGTGCGATGGGCAGAGCCGGTGTTTCGGATGGTATCAAATCTGTTAGAGACATCTGTAAAATTCCTGTCGGAAAATTTCGCAGCTGTCTTGGGAAGCGATAATTTCCAATCTCTTGGCCGCGAGTTAACATGGAACATCAGCCGCTTAGAAGATCACTTTCTAGCAGCCGTCGAACAGTTGCAGCCTGAACAAGCGTGCAAAAGTTATTCGAGATTGAACAAAATGCTTCTCGCGTCGCAGACGGATGATTTTCAGGGTAAGATCAAGTGGGGACCGCTGTTTATTGACTTTCTGCACAAACTTCAAGGCTGTGTGGAAAAGTGCTTGGTGCGCGATGCCGCACGTGCCGCGAGAACCACCACATGGTTGAAAATGGATCTGGAACTTCGCAGGAGAATACAGGAGCTAGCTTGTCTCGTGATCTTGCCTCACGAGACTTCGAAACGTCTCTCCAAGCATACAAACTTCCTAAAGGCAAGTATCTTCTTTATCATCTTTAAAATCCACATTACCTTTTCTAATAAAATCATTCTGTACATTAAAGGAACCTCGTGTGCCGCCAAATCGGTCGACGATAAGTCGCAGCTTAGATTTAAAACGGGTGAAAATGGCGATATCAGAGCATAATGACAAAACTTTAAAACAGGTGCCATCAGCCAAGCAAACCAAGAAAGTTTTATGTAAGCCAAAAACAGATCCGCTCGAGCGTAAAATGCAGGAGGATAAACAAGTTACCTCTGAACCCGTTAGGCCAAAATCATGGCCTAATAAGATAGAGGTACATTTGAGATTTTTAAAGATATTAAGACAATCTTTCGTCGCAGCTTTACATATGTGAATTATCGTATAATGTATCGAAAAGAATCATTATTAATCAAAATTTTCCATAGTTTAGAATTGCAATGTGTACGAAAGGAATTATTTATCAGAATTTAGCCCATCTTTACAATTAAAATTCGAAATAAAATAAAAAAGACTCGGTACCTCAACATTTTTACCGCAAAAACTAACTTCAATTAATTAGGTTTATTATTAAAATTACGATAAGGTCATCAATATAATAAATTCGTAGGTGAAATCAAGATATTTGGAACAAAGAAACAAAGTTGTTCCAAAGGAAAACGTGCCCATGCATCACGACAAGTTCGTGCAACAACGGCGGAAAATTATGATTTCCTCGTCTGATTCGTCACGTACTTCCAGCCCGGCGATGAAACGCGCGACAGATAAAAAACCAATGTCCAAGATAAAACTACCAGTCAGGAAAGATGTAAAAGCTCTCTCGTCGGACAGCTTGACGGAGGCGAACGCGGGTCGAACTGGCGCTAAAAAACCAGATTTGATCAGCAAAAGCTGCGCAATTACCAGACCCGAATCTCCTTCCTTTAAACAGAAAAGCGCCGAGATAGGTTTATCGGTGGACTCTTTGGAAACCAAGAGTAAGCCGGTTACCGTCAAAAAGAAAGTCAACAAAATGGATACATCCATGTCCACCGACAGTCTTATGACGGAGATAACGACGACTCCAAAATCTAACGTATCCAATAAATTGTCGCCTACTTTAGCAAAAGCGAACAAAACGCAAACTTATGACAGGTGAGATGGAATTTAATACATATTTAATACATATCCGTTTATAATTTCTGTAATCGATTTGAAAAACCGATTTGCTAGGAATCTATACCAACTATTTTATTTCACATTATTGCATTTGATTTTTAAAAATTATATTTGATTACTTGATTTTTCCTACATCAGTAATTAGACTTGTCAATCTGTAAATGGCAGGATGAAAAAGAGCTCGCCACCAACACAGCAGAGGAGCCCATTGGCGATCACTAAGAGGCCTCTGAGATCATTGGAAAGTTCTACTGCCGCCAGTCGCAGTAGAGCCGCTGCTATCAGTAACACATACCATGGTTCGCCGAGTTTACGTAGAAACTTATTAGATGCTGCAAGGACGCCGGACGTTCCCAGTAAACCGGTAAATACAGTAGCCCCCTTCAGGGCGCGACAGGTCGTGCAGACAAACGTTTCTCTCAACACGAGGAGAGAGAGAAAGGAAACCCAAAATTCGCAGACCTCTGATAGCCCCAGCAAGAAATCCTCCCCGAAGTCTAGCATTGGCAGTAGGATGAACAAATCGGTGACCGCTGGCAGGAGAATTGTCAGTAGTAAAGCTGACGACAAGATTAAAAAGTGCTATAATGTGGAGGCACAGAGGCAACCCACAGTAGGTTCGAGATCTGGCACGTTCCTCAAAGATGAACCTACGATACTTAAAAAAGTGGATATCAAAACATCGCAAATTAACACTTAATGTTATTAATGGCTGAATAATTCTATCGACAGGATATGCATTGTCGACGCGATATTGATTTTTGTCCATTAATGGTACTACGCTTTTATCAGCAGGCAAGGATTCTTTCATCACGAGATGGCTTGTAATCATATCATACAAGTAAAGTTAGATTTTAATGTTATTAATATCATTAAAATAATTTTGCATCTCCATACATATATTAATACATAAGAGTTTCATATAAATATACAATAATTGTCCTTTTCTTTTTAGCATGCCTGAAATTATTATCGTCACTTTAACATTCGTGATTGTATCGTAAATGTTTTACAATTTGTGTACGTCAATGCACTTTATACGTTTCCATTTGTCTCGTATACTTAATAAATAAAAAAACTCGTCGACAATGCATTAATACACATAATAAATCATGATTAATGGGGGACTATCGCTAGTAACTGCGAACGTGATAATTCCAGAGGAATCGTATTATATGTAAGATAGCGAGATGTAATTTTAATTTAAAAGAGCTTGAAATTACCGTTGAACAATATACTTGAGCTGCATTTATATTAGTTTAATAGAAAATGTTCTACGATTGTCTCATGTCGCTAGAGGCGATTATTTAAGAAAACAATTTTCAAATTTTAAGTAAATAATTTTTCATACTTTCTGCTTTTCTAACATGATAATGCAGGTCGTAAAATCTCAATCTAAGAAATCAAATATACAAATTATCCCTTATAAAAAAAACTATATATCTGTATGTATATGTATATATAGTCAGATATACATACGAAAAGATTACATATGTCTTTAAAAAAATTTTCCAAAGAAAACTTTATCCAAGAACGGAAATTTGTAATTGAGCTGCATGTTTCTTGGATTACTGTGTATTGCACAATTAGAATAAGTGAAGATCTCATACCTATATATATACAAACATGCATACACATACACACACACATATATACGCGCGCATACATACAAGCAACACAGCAGCAGGGAAAAGGATTATTGACGGATATGTACTTAAATGAACGAATTGATTACTGATTACATGTACACACATTAATGTCTCGTAGTACTGCACACGCAGCATCTCATAATCCATAGATAAAAAACGTGGTCGGTGACAGAATTATGTTTAGATAGCTCTTCCATCCTACCACGTAAACGCCATATCAATTAGAATTATTTTTTTGGTAACCAGGCGGTTTTATTAGACGCTATTTAATTATATTACTAGTTGAGGTTGCCATTGTACGAACTAATTTCGAAATGCAAGCAAGAGAATTGTATCTTTCTGCTTGCCGTTATTTATCGATGAATGTAACGGATATATTTATTTGTTAAATTTCTATTTTACAATGTACATTTTTATGCAATATTTGTATCTAGTCATTTGTATATTTTAAAGATTTACTTTTTTTTTGTCTAATGTTAATAAATACGCCAATATGAGATTATGAATGTTTGTTGATAAAACTAAATTATTTCTGCTAGATATACTGTCGCGAAGGGAAAGGCTGCAATCTTTTTGTTCACGCATGGCAATATGTTAGTAAATAAATTTATTTTCAACTGTGTAGATTAATGTACAGAACTATAAATATTAATTCTCGATGAGAAATTAAACATCCAGTAACGTCCCTCTAGGTCTTGTACGCTTCGATTCTGTTTCAGTGGATGGTATACTTTTCCGTTTATTCATGCCTTTCCTCTCCAACTGTTTCTCTATGATACGTGCGTTGTTTGCATACGAGTCTGCGACTTCTCTCTGAAATTACAATGTTCTTTTATAAAAACCGTTTTATCATCGTAGGACAAAAATGCAGACGGAAAAAGGTGCCTCGTCATAAACTTTAAATATCGCCCGTTACGTATGACACAATGCAATTGACGTACAGCTTCAATTTCATCCTCTTCCTCGTCGATCGTGGATACGGTAACCGAACTGAATTTGCCCATATTTTTCGTGTGCTTGGTAACCATTATTTTTTTAGGTTTCTCAACTGCCACTTGATTATAGATGTCTGTCATAGGGCCTTCCCCAGAACTTTTTATCACCGAATCCTTTACTACGAATACTACATTCGCCCCTGGATCGTGCTTGTAATACAGCAATAAACCGCACCTGTCGAGTAGACAAATTACATTAAAATCTATCGCGCCAGATATTTTTTCCAACATTGTTACGCATCATTAATGCATATCGAAGTAACAGAAGCCGTGAATGGCCATTCTCGGTGCGACGAGAAATATAATGTACAAATGAAAGCAAGCTCGTACTTTTTACACTTTTGTCTGTATTGCTTCTCGATTCCCTCTGGACGTTTGAGAAATACAATCTCGTCCCGTTCCGAAGTCATTTTATGAGCATGCTTGCTGCCGTCGATTACCCTCGATCCGTCCCTTTTTCTCAGTGGCAATTTTTCAATGGCACAATCTGTAAATAAACAATCGCAACATTCATAAACGTTGAAGTGACCAATGTCGATTACGAGCCTCGCAATGCCCGCAAACAATTCTTAATCGTGGCGTTTTACACAGTATTACTTTTTTAAAAGAACTGACCAATACGATACTAACCTAAAATTAGTGTCATCTGGCCACATACGCAATAATAAATATGCAGCGGTTTCTCCTCGCTATATTCTTCCTGATCTTTCGTATCGGAGCATATAATGCTCCTCGACACTACTTTCGGCATTATTCAATTCTTGTCTTTATTCAAACTTACGCTTTAATCAAACCAAATCAAACTACAAATCGCGTCCTTACAGCGCGCGAGCTGCACCTGACCCAACCTGACCTGACCTGACGTGCTCGGCGCGTTCCGAAACGCATAAAAAAATGTCGAGAACAACTTTTGCTCTCAAATGTTCGGACATACAATGGCAAAATGTGTAGACATTTTAATTTATAGAGTGTCACTGCCTCTGGGACACAATTCTTATTGAAGACAACTGAAGCTCGCTGAGAGTATAATTCAAACATATGTTTGCGACTACTGTTTTTGAAATGTAACAAAATCTAATCCTATTATTTCTTATCAGCAATTTTGCAACTGTGCATTCAAGTAGTTCTAG